GTGTGTGTGTGTGTGTGTGTGTGTGTGTGTGTGTGTGTGTGTGTGTGGTGCAAACTGTATATCCAATAGATAACTGCCAGGAAGATAGGCCACACTTCCCTGGGGAATTTGTAGCTTATACTCAAAAACCAAATAAAAGATGGTGGCAAGGCAGAGCCTCCTGAATTGAGAACAAGAGAGAGTAACAAGTAACAAAGAAAGTAATCCGTAGCATTTCATGAGCTCTCTTAATATATTTGGAGTTTATTCCCAAAGGGCCAACAAACAACACAGCAAAGACTTGCTTGGTTTCCTAACTAAGGAGCAGTTTAGTACCCTCTCAGTCAATAAAGCTAAAGTCCTATTTCCTTTCTTCCAATATCCAACAGGTTCCTCAGAAACAGGTTCAGTTCCTCCAGCCAGCCAGTAACTCTGACTAGGACTTCTGTGTAGCTCTCAGGAGAGGGAAATGATTCAGTGGGGGTGCCAGTCTTCTGCTCGTCCCCTCCACAAGACATCCTGGAGCAAACCCTCGCAGATCTTTGAGACAGAGCAATGTTTATTGGTTTCAGCTGAACTTGTAAAGGGGTTGCCCTAGCATAATCTTCCTATGGAAATAGTAACCTTGAATTTGCTTTTGAAATTACTTTTTCAGTGATAGAATATGCAGCGCTCTATCTTTCCATAAATCCAGATTGATCTTAAATGAGTGGAACGATGGTCCTAGATTACATGGCCTCTAATGATTTGGCTTGTTATGTCTGGGAAAAACCATCCTCAGTCTTTATTTATCGGAACAACTATCTGAACTGGAAAGAGTTATCTCCTAAAGTTCTAATGGAAAACCATTCCTCTTGCTCTCATTAATGTTGTATTTGCAATGGAGTCATGTTGACCTGCACCCAGACATTGTCTGATGCTCGACTGCTGAGATAAGGGCCTTGTGAGGCTGAAACCAGAACTGAGGGCCTGAAACACTGATGGATGAGAAAGTATGCTAGGCACCAGGCTCTGCATTTGTTTAGAGAAAAAGAGGTCATCAGGATATTAGGGGCAGGCAAGGAATGGAGAAGTCAGCCCGTCTCAGCGTGGGCTGAGTAGGATGCCCTACTGGCCAGTGACTATCATGAACCAGCAGGAGTTCATCATGAACAAGTTATGCCAGGCTACCCTCACTTCCTTTTTGGACAGAGTTACTAGAATGATAGATGAAGAGAACCCTACATACATAGCACACTCAGCTTTCAGTAAGGCATTTGACAGAGGGTCTCATGATTTCGTTGTGGTCAGGATGGAGATGTGTGGGGGTGGATTTGGAATTAGATGATCGATGGTCTCTGGTGGAATGCCACAGGGTTCTTCCCTTATCCTGGTTCTTTTCATTTTAATCAGTTATTTGGATGAAGGTATAGATGGAATATTCATGAAAATTGGTGGATAAAAAACCTGGGAGGGATAACTAAATAGGCAAAATGACAGACTTCATCAAACTACAGTGAAGAGCCAGAACTATTGGGATGAAACCTTAAAGGGTAAATATGAAGTTCCTTTACTTGGGGGGAAAAGAAATCAACCACAAAAGTATAGGATGGGTAAGATATGGCTAAACAATCATATGAAAAAAGTCTGAGTGAGATTTAGAAGACCACAACTCAAAATGAGTCAGTGGTGTGATGTGTTGTTACAGAAGCGTATGGCACGGTAGACAAGTGTCATACATCATGTCAGAAACACCCTTTGTCCAAATTCCCTTTCTGACACAAGGTGTGTGAGCGTGGGTACGTCCCTGGACCTCTGAGCTACAATTCCCTAATCTCCAGAGTGGAGGTAATCGATTCTGCATCAGAGGAATGTGGTGGCTAGCAATGACATCATTCATGTGACAGACCTGGCACTTTCAGGGGCTCTTCTAGTGTGCGAGAGTATCGTCATTGTGTGTCAAGGAGAAGAACTAGTCCAGTCCCAAGCCAGAGGAATGGAAGCATTGTTCTCAGAATGAGAAGGCTTTGTATGGTTTTGCTGTGCTTGGCCCTGGTTATAGCATATGGGGAGTGAATGACTGCTTCAGGTCTAGGCAGCACATTTTAGGAAGGATTTTGACAAACCAAAGTGCATCTAAAGGGGAACAGCCATGGGGGTGAGGAGATAGACACGCAACCATTCTCTGTGAGGATCAGTGGGAGAAAGGTGGGATGTTTAACCCAGAGAAAACTTCAGGGGGAAATGGTTATGGTCCTTATATGTTTGAAGCGCAGTCACGAGACAGAGGGATTAAGCTTATTTTGTTTGCCTCTAAAGGGCAGAACTCAGAATTGTGATACAAGTTGCAGAGAGGCACATTTGGGCTCATTATAAGGAGAATTTACTCATGAGGACAGCTCTCTAAGAGTGGAGTGGGCTGCCTTCCAAGGTAGCCAGTGTCCCAGTTCTGAAGGTGTTTGAGAGGAAGGTGAATGACCACCTGTCGAGGATATTATAGAAGGAATTTCTACTCAGGTTTGGGTTGGACTAGGTAACACCTGAGGTCCCTGCTAGCTCTTTGATTCCAGTGACTCCCCAGACATAGCATTTGCACCACACACACACACATATACACACACGGTGGAAGCACCAGCTGCATCACAGTAAGAATTTCTAGCTCAGCAGCTTCCCAACTGGATCTCCTCACTTTAGGCTCTCTCTCATCTACCTAATATATATTTTCCATATTGTGGGCAAAGATCATTGAATTTTGTTGGATCATCTCCTAATTTTAAAATGTCAGAATCCCAATATTGAGCTGTCACAGAAAATTTAGGGCATTTAGTGCCTGAATTTTCTGTGATAGTAAATGTTCTTCTCCACTCCCACCCCTATTTTCATGAAGTTTTTCACATGCACTCCAGCCTTACTTAGTCTCCCTTTCCTTAGCATGTTGACAATACTTATGATTGCACCACACAATTTCAGATTTAATTGTCTTACCTTGTTCATTTTTTTTTCATTTTGTGTTAAATCAACAAATAAATTGTAAGCTCTTTGAGGGCAGGTCTTTTATGCTTAGTAAGCACAGATAGACCTTCATTTTATTGATTCTCCTTTCTTCCCCTGGAATTTTAGAAAATAGGATGTGGCTCACATTTTTAAAAAAAAGTAAAGGAGTTGGTTAGAAGGTGAGAGTAATTAAAACGGGATAGTGGTGGTTGGGAAAAAGGATGTTTTTCATAGGATCTGTTTGAGCTCATGAAAATTTGGGTGGGCTGATAAAAGCTTTTTCAAACATATCTGCAAAGCTGCTTTCCTTTCCTCTAGCTGTCCTATGACGATAGCAAGCCTCTACCTGTTTCCTGTGGTTGTCACCCTGCTCTTCTGTAAGCTGTCACCATGACCCTGACAAAAGGCTCCTTCACCTACTCCAGCGGGGAAGAATATCGTGGCGAGTGGAAGGAGGGTGAGAAGGGCGTTGGAGGTCTCCAGACATGAGAACTCCTTTCTGGATGAAGGGAAAATATATTAGAGTATTTGAATCCAACTTTGCTGGGTCTTCTTTCTCCCTAGCATCTTTCCCTTGCATTATATCTATATGAGTAAAAGAGGAAACATGCAATGTTAGTCTTCCTAATCAACCCACACCCTACCCTTTTTGCAAAATTTGGATTGGTTCAACATTTTTCAGTGATGCTACTTAGGTATTTTTTTTAATGTTAATGAATAGGTCCTCCCTTTGTATCTATATGAGTAAAACAAAACTAAGTATTTTAAAAGCACAAGAATTAACCATATCATGGATTCAACCTAAATTATTCTGGTAACATACAACTGGAAGAATAGATTCTACATATCCCCTTGTTTGGCCTCATTCCTTTTGTGGCAGACTAGGATCGATTTCACGTTACTGCAACTGAAACATTCCATTATGGAAGCTTGACTGAGTACATGACCTGGAGGAGTAATGTCGACTTCCTTGCCTCATCTCATTCCAAGTCTTTTTCCTTCTCTCCCAAGTTCTGTCTGCCCGTTGTCATGCCCTCCAAGAACTCACATGTAACTTCTGGGTAGCCCCAGGAAATTACAATTTCTTCATCCCTAAAATAAACTCCATTCTCCGTTGTCTCAAGAGCATTATTGTTCACCCAGCATCTTGCTTTGTTTCCTGGCCAATTCAGTGGGCAAATAGAGCACCCTAGAAGATGTAAAATCTTAGCCAATGCCGTAAGAGTCGATCTTTTTTGTCCTGCATCTTTCACGCTGCTGAGGGGCAGTTTTTAGTTTCTAGATTTTTCACTTTTGCATGTGAAGAGAATCCAAACCAGTTGGTTGTAAATGAAGGAGGGGAAGTCCCAGGAAGTCTCATTGCCTTCACAGTGGCAGCTTTGGTGCTTTGTTTTTCTAGCTCTTTCAGCACCAGAATGCTAAGCTGTACTGATGTCACTAACTTCTCCTCTTTTTATTTTTTAGGATAACTCTTTCCTCTTTGAGTCGGTGGTCTGTAAGGGAAGGGATGATGGGTGCTTGAGAAGGTGCCCAGGAGCTACCCCATTCCAGCCTGACACCTGTCCTTTTCTTTGCTTAGGCCGCAGGCATGGCATTGGTCAACTGATGTTTGCAGATGGCGGCACCTACCTGGGTCATTTTGAGAATGGGCTCTTTAATGGCTTCGGGGTACTGACTTTCTCAGATGGCTCAAGGTGGGTACTTGGTCCTCTCCCCTCTCAGCCTTAGACTGGGGAGGCTCCAGTTTACAAATGGGATGACAATAAACAGTTTGCTAACTGAGCCAGTCTCAGTCCCTGCAGATCCTGCCCCCAAAGAGTGTGGGCATCTCTCTTGACTGATCTTAAACATTTCAAGATCTGGAAGCTTTTCTGAAGTGGCCAGAAGGAAAGTGACCTTTTGACTCTTATTCTCCATCACTTTCCATCTTGCATTTTCCTTTTATGTTCCCTTCTTTCCCTTCCTGGGCTATGTCACAATCAATAACTCTGGTTGAATATGGTTGGAGCTCGGAAACAGGTGGAATCACATTCCACATGTTCGCTCACCCCCAGCTTGGAGCCTCTCCTTAAAAGGCTAATCTTGGTGTCTCTCTCTCTGAAGATACGAAGGAGAGTTTGCCCAAGGAAAGTTCAACGGTGTTGGGGTTTTCATTCGCCATGACAACATGACTTTTGAGGGAGAATTCAAGAGTGGCAGAGTAGATGGCTTTGGTGAGTAACAGCCACAGGTGGATTGCTCTTTCAATTCATCTAGTCAGGGCTGGGCCTTCCTCTTGTTCCAAGCAGTTAGACTGTTGAGCATGAAGAAGTGGGAGGCTGTCTGTTAGTAGAGCCTCTCCCTGTTTACTCACTGATGCCTAAGAACCCCATCTTTTCCCTCCACGGTTCTCGTCAAGGTGATGATAACAATCTCTTATAGGCCTGTAAAGCATTTTTCAACTTCTCTGAATTGGATTTGAACTGAGACCTTTGAGTAGCTTCCTATAATGATGTCTCTAATTGTTTTTCCTCTTTTATCTTAACCAACAGGCCTGTTGACTTTTCCTGATGGTTCTCATGGAGTTCCTCGAAATGAAGGTCTGTTTGAGAATAATAAGTTGCTACGGCGAGAAAAGTGTCCTGCAGTGATCCAGAGAGCACAGAGGGCTTCCGAGTCAGCCCGGAACCTCCCAGCTTGACAGGGTACCATGGCTCTGCCAGAAGGAGCAGTTGGGCAGACCAGCCACCTCTGTTCATTCACTGCAGGTGAAGGAATGAACCAGACCCAAGATTCTTTGAGTTATGAACACCAAACAGTTGCCTTTTGACACATCCCCTTTGCCTGCCAATCAAAAGTTAGATTGTGGATTGGGGCCATTTACAGGCCCTCCAACAGCTCTGACTTGCCAGACAGGGAGCAGCTGATTTCAGTTTTGCCTTGGCCCTGCCCCTTCTCTGCCGCTGCTTGGACGAACTGCCTTTTTTCACACCCTGGGACTCTCCATCCCTAAATCCCTGCACTGCCCCCAGCCTTGCTGCCTTCTACTCCAGCCTGGGTCCATGGTCACCTGCAGTGTAATGGGGGGGGTGATCCAGCAGCCTCCCCTCACCAGAGGCCCATGCCTTGGGCTTCCTGGGGGAGGGAAGATGATGGACTATCTAGGGGGTCAGGGAAAGAAGGCATACAGCAGGCATTTAAAAGCCTAGGCTGGAGACTTTTTCTTACGTTACCTTCTTATTTGGTTACTGTTTGGAATTAGGGCTCCAGGTCTGTTACGTGAGCTGGCCAGGATGATCTTGAACTCCTCTTTCTCAGTCTTTGGGTGCTGTGATGAGTCTTCATGTGTCCTTGACTTTACTGTGTAACTCCATTACACGAAAGGACTCCATTTATGCATCTCATCTTTATGTACCTTCATTGCTGTTCTTATATGGGTAAAAAAGTGATACAGAACTATAATCTTAAACTCGTGTGTAGAGCAGAGGACAGGAACCTCCAGACCCACTAATAATGTGTGAAAGCCAGGATTGATTTCATCTTTCTTAAGACTGGAAAGGGACTGGTTAGGCAGGAGTCTTCCTTGTGGACCACCTGGCCAGAGCACTATCAGCTCCCTGGAATTTAGACAGAGGTGGATGCAGATCAGTCAGGAATACGTTGAGCTAAAAACTACTTGATGGACCAAATCCAGGTCACCATAACTCTTTCACTACCAGCCCTGGACATTAGACCTGGAGATGAAAACTCTACTCATCAGCATCACACAGAGCTCATTCTGAGACTTTGAACACACCATACTCCCCATTATTCTCACATCGAATGTTTCATGTGCAGCAGATTTTGGTGGAAATACTAGCAGTGTGCCTCTATCATCTCTGGATTGTACTGTTGAAATAAAAGTGTTTATAAGGAATCAATGCTTCTTCCAAACTGCCAATATTTAGTTCTCTTGCTTTTGATCCTTACTTTTTTCTTTGTAGCTGTGACTAGATCAGTAGAGCCCCATTTGCTGTTTCCAAGGGCCAGTAATAAATCGAGATTCAAGATGTCCCTCACTAAGCCTCTTGGCCTAGTTCCCTCAACTTATTTTGGGCTTTCCATTACCCGCTCACCTGGCCTTGAGAGTACTTATGGCTTTCTCCTCCATGCCATCATTAGGGCCTCTTGTAAGTGCTGAAACAGAGTGGACCTCAAGAACTGCCATGGTGGGCTCGGCTGGGTAAAGGCCTCTTGGCATCCACGAGGGAAACTGATAGGGGTGAGGGTAGGGGCAGATCAGGACCCAATTTGCTTCTGTGTAGTTTAGCTGTCTTTGTAAATAGTATCACAGTACAGGGGATTATTGAAGTTCCAAAGCAATGGTTTTACCAATCAAAGGCAGCGCCAGACATAAGACTGGCGGAGTCTCAGTTTCCGGTTCCCCTCTCTGATGTCTAAAGATGGCTTCAGTAGCATTTGTCCACCAGGTGGCGCTGTGTGCTTGCAGTTGATGAGGCTGATGGGACCCTGGAACACAAACCTGAGATCACGGCCTCATCCCACCGGCCAAATGCAGGGAATGCATAGATTAAATGGGTGCTGTTGAGTTATAGAGTACTGAGATACTGGGGGGAAGGGAAGAAGCATTTGTTAAGTGCCTACTGTGTGCCAGGCACTGTGCTTAAAGCTTGACAAATACTGATCCAGGCAAGGTGGCTGGCTGGGTGATGGGGGTGGGGGTGGAGTACAGTTAATGGTAATGGCTTTGTCTTTGTGCATCTCTCAGCATTTCCGCTCTAGGTTTTCTTCCCACCTACTTCCACCAGTGGGCAGAAGCCTCCCCTACCTATGTCCTGGACCAAACAGCAGAGACTGGAGCTCTTCCCAAGGCTGAGCAGCCTCTGTTTCTTCCTCTCAGGCTTCTTTATTCCAGCCCAGAATACGACATTCCTCTCACCCCAACTCCCACCTTCCCTTCTGGATACTGAGGTCATAGGAAAAAGGCTGGAGCAGAGACCAAAGTAGCAAAAAGCAGCTTTTCCTAACTGGGGACTCTGAAACAGATAGGAGGTTTGTAGTGTGGGGGAACGAGGTGGTCCTGATGCTACCGCTTGCCTGGCCAGTACTGTCTGGTGGAGGAGGAGGGGCCTGGAGACGTAATAACAGCTCACATTTATGTGGTGTCTTTTTAAGGTTTGTGAAGCCACTTCATATGTATGTTATTTGATCCTCACAACAACCCTGTGAGGTAGGTGATTTTTAGCCCCATTTCACAGATGGGAAAACTGAGGTTGAGAAAGGTTGAATCACATCCTTAGGGGATGGGGTATGGGAAAGAATGGGAGTAGGCAAAGGGATGGCACCATAGCTCCCCCTGACCTCCACTGTATCCTTAAGGCTATGGGTATAGGAGTGGAGGCCAACTAGAGACCTGGCAGGGGAAGGCCGTGCCCTGCACCTGGCTCTTCATAGCCAGCCATTGGTAGTGAAATCCAAGTGTAGCTTCGCTTCTTCATCGGGGCTCAGGGTACTCAGCGGGGCACGACAAGGACCTCCATAGTAGCCAAACCAGTCCATGGTTTTCTTCAGCCCTGGGATCCCAAAGCGTCGAGTTACCTGAGAGGAAATGTCAGAGGTAGTCTCTAGCTTTATCCTAGGCCCAAACACATAACACCCCTCAAAGTTAAGGCTCCCACCTCTCCTCCTAAGTGTAGAATAAAAAACTTCTAAAGACTGCAGCACCCAGGGGGACGTCTAGGACCACAGCTTCAAGTACTGAGAGATATGGGGTCATTACTAGTGAGTGACAGGAAAGGATTATAGGACTGTAGGATCTGTTGAATAGGGAAAGATGGAGAGGTTTTTTTTCACATATTTTTTAATCTGGAAGAGACCAGAAATCCTTTCATCTAACCCCTTTTCATGTCAGTGAGGAAAGGCAATGAAGCGGCTTGTCCAAGGTTTCACGGCAGAATATTAGTGAGAAGTGGGAAGGAGAGGTAGATTCCTCTTATTTCTAGCCCCTACCTGATGCTGCTTCTCATCACCTTAGCTCTAGGATGTACAAAAACCCAGCTAGGATTAGAGATCAGAGCACGGCCCCTTGGGAAAGTGTCCAAACTCTTGGACTTGTCCTGTGGATCCCTGGAGCCTCCCTTATCAGCTGAGGCCTGGAATGCACACAATAGTCAGGCCAGGAGGGCTGAAGCAAGGAAGGAGAAGGGCTTTTGAGGTAGAGCAGGGATATCTCCGAGGAGGTAACTTGCTGGCCTCAGGTTCCCTACTTCAATAACCTCAAACCACTCCCTAAGACCCAACTTCCCTTTTTCCTCCTCATCACCCTCAACTCCCCCAGCTTCTCCCCGACCTGCACTCAAAACCTTGGTGTTCTTCACTGCACAAAGAAAGCCTTTTCTGTAAGGGGTTAAAAACAAAAAACCCTTCTTTTGTGTCATGAGTAACCATCCACTAGAGGACAGCATTCCTTAGCAATCACGGAGGTGGCGCTCCCAAGTCCAGGGATCTTAGGGGCCGAAATCAGCCCTTTACACTCTTCCTGGGGCAGGATGACAGAGTGAGATGGTGAGGAGGAGGGAAAGAGGCCCGGTGGCAGAAAACTTAATAGCCTGTCCCCAAAACCCATGAGTCGCTGAAAAACTCTTGAAGACCCCCTACAGAGCCCCTAAGAGACTTGGGAAGAAGGTAGGTTAGATGCTTGGGTGAAGGCCATGGAAACTCCTAAATATAGCTGTGGGGCAGAAGTCTGGCAGAGGGGTGGGAAGGAGGGAGGACATCGTGTACAATGTGGCAAGGCAATCTGCTGAGATCAAACTGCACTTAGGGTAGCTGAGACCACAGCACAGGCTGCAGACAGGTGGCCCTGGAATTCCTGTGCCTGTGTCCAGGGCTGACGCAGGAGAGAAGGGAATCTCCTGTGAGACAGGAGGCTGGTGGTGCCAGCACACCCAGAATTGGGATGGCAGCAAGGCAGTTCATCCCTTCATAATAATGACAGAGACACTATCTGATTCTTCTCCGGTGTCATTCTCCCCCCTCTTTGTAGCATATACCCCAAGAGCTCGAAAAGAATATTCCTGTTTTAAGCCTGGCTACAGACAGCTTCTGGGTGTGGTATTTGTATGTCCATGTTGGTTTGCCTCTCTCTGTCTGCCCCTCTCTATCAATCGCTCTCTCTGTGTCCTCTCTTTTTCCATAGAACAGATGTGTGGGTGAGTAGGGGGCACAGGAGCAGGTCGCCCAGCCTCACAGAGGAATGTCTAATGTGCAGGGGCAGCATGTACCCGATGGGGCTTAACTGGAGGGGCTTCATCTTACATACTGTTATATCCTATTTATAACCCATAGGAAGTTCTATATCCTGGGAGTTCTCCCCAGCTGTCACTTCCTTAAGTCTGGATTCTTGTCCTTCTTTGTGTCCCATTATAAGGGCCAAAAAACAAGAGAAACCAGGCCTACCCATCCCCTAGATCCATAAAAAGCCCAAAGGAAGGAACATTTAGGGGGGAATGACTCAAGGGGATGAAACTATCCCTTTAGGCCCTGGAGACCATCTTAAGGATATTTCTAATCTCACCTCAGCTCTGTGTTTGAGACCGAGTTGGTGCCCCAGAAACTGACCCAAGACAACACAATTTGTTCTATATCTGGACTAAACATCTATGTCTAAGCTTATCATAAGATTGTGTAATAAGAGGATGCACATCAGGAAGGGAGAGAATGACAATGGAGAGGAATAAGATTGCTTCTCCAAGTGCCGTTATTAGGAAGGAAAGAACTCCTGCCTCGCTGTCATCCCAATTCTGGATGGGATGACATCCACTGCCAACACCCAGCCTCCTGACTCACAGGAGAGGCCCTCGTCTCCTATGTCAGCCCCGGACATAGGCACAGGAATTCCAGGACCAGCCTAGACAATGCTCTCAGCCACCCTCTATACTGTCTGATCTCAGAGTTGGGATGCCATCCTTATGGTGCTCTTTCTGAAAATAAAGAGATCAATTGAGAAGCTGATTAAGTTCCTGCTGTCTTTCCCATTCAGAGGCCCAGAATGGCTGTGAACATGCATGAAGGGAAGAGGATCCCTTTATAGGGAGCTCACCGCAGTATTGGGTTCAATGAGGCGATGCTGCAAGGCCTGGGCATCTTCCCACTGCCCAGTGAGGCAGAGTCGCTCCAGCTGGCACACCTGTGCTCCCAGGACATTGGCCAAAGCACAGATACCCCCAACAGCTCCTGCCACCAGAGCCAGAAATAAAACTTAGAACACAACCACAGCCTGTGCTCTCCCCAACCCTTCACTCATCCCACCCCCACATATGACCCAAAGAAGCCCTGAATCCTGAAAGGGGAGCTTCCTTTCTCCTAAGAGACTTAGGATCCTAACACTTTAGATCTGGAAAGGACCCTAGAGATCAGCATTTAGTACCATCCTATTTTGCAGAAGAGAATACTGAGGCTTGGAGAAGCAAAGTGACCCAGGTCTCCAAATTCCCAGGAATCTTGTCCCTAAACCACATTGCAGCATACCAGTAAGTATGACTGTTTTGGGACTCAAGTCAACCACATGCCCAATGCAGATACGCATGGTGAGAAAGCAGAGTCATCCTGGCATTGATTACCAAGCACAGAAAAAGTTGGAACTTTGTGACCACAGAATATAGATTACCAACGAGAAAAGTTGTCATACATGGGGAAACAGATTCCAAAGATGCTATTTAGAGGAGTTTGGTGGGCAGCAAGAAATTCGAACTATGGTGTTGACTGGTTAGAAGTCCTTCTCCCTCTCTGTACCCAGGGGAGCTAGGAGGGATGATTCAGATGAATCAAGGTCCTATCTGCCAGCTAAGGTTCCTTTTCTGTGACCCCCAACCCCAGGAGACCCAGATCAGCAGCAGGGAAGAAGCCTTACTCTTTTATCACTTTAGTTCCCGAAGGAATCTAAACTATTTAGAGAAGAAACTGAGGCACAGGCAGAAACTGGGTCTAGGTCTAGAGAGAAAGAGCAGTATAATAAACTTAGGAATGAGGTGTCTGGGGACAAGGCCTTGAGCTCCTTTCTGAGAGCAAGAAGGAGTCTTACAAATTATATAAGTCCAGCCTCCCACCACCTCTCCCTTCTCTTTAGAGACTGGGAAGAGAATTGCCAAGTCATGATCCAGTGGAAGCCCAGGGAGACCTAGTATCTCCTAAGGCTAGTAACCAGATCGTTCTTTCTATAAGCCCTTGGAATCTAGAGCCCTGGGCCACTGTGGTTGGAGGTGGACCTCCTCATCCTCCATGTGTGCCTCTGTCTTTCAGGGACTATGATGTATACACTGGGGTATAGTTGATAAGAAAAGTGCACTTAAGTGGCAGCTAGGTAACGCAGTGGAGAGAGCACCAGCCCTGAAGTCAGGAGGACCTGAGTTCAAATGTGGCCTCAGACACTTGATACTTCCTAGCTGTGTGACCTTGGGCAAGTCACTTAACCCCGATTGCCTCACCAAAAAGCGGGAGCAAGAAGGAAAGAAAAAGAAAAGTGCACTTAGAAATGGGAAGACTAGCTGGGTGACCCTGCGTGAGTCAATGAACCTCTTGAAGCCTCAGTTTCTGTAAAATGGGGAGAAGAGTGAGCCCATAACCGTGATAGTAAGTGGGTCAAATGTGAAGTTGTGCTTTGAAACTCTCAAGCCTGTACAAAGATGAGCTATTCCTATTAGTATTGACCCCAAAAGAATAACTGTCTTTTATGTAGTACTTTTAAAGTCTGCAAAGAATTTTAAATACATAATCAAGTTTGAACCTCAAGACAACCCTATGAGGTAAGAGGAGAGGATTAATGAGAACAAGCATTTATATAACACCTATTATCCAGGCACTGTGCTAACTGCTTAAGAAATATCTATGTAATGCTCACAACAATCCTGCCAGGAAGGTGCTTTTTATGTCTATTTTACAGTTAAGGAAACTGAGGCAGACAAAGGTTAAATGACTTGCACAGGGTCATCCAGCTAGTAAATGTCCAAGGCTGGATTTGAACTCAGGTCTTCCTAACTCCAGGCCCAGCACCCTAACCATTATATCCAAGGTAAGTATGAAGTTATTGCCATCTTCATTTTACCAGTGAAGAAATGGACTCTCAAAGAGGTAAATTGATTTGCCCAAGGCCCCACAGCTAGTAGGGATTAGAAGAATGAGTCAGAGTATTTGAACCTAGATCTTCCTCACTCCAAGTCCAATCAACAACTCAGCTGACCATTTAAGGGACTCTGGCCTCCGGCAAAATAACACAAACAGAGCAAGAAACCCAAAATTCCTTTCCATTCAACCTCTGGGTCAATCCAGCTGCCTCTGTATGAGTCATTCTACACTCAGAGATAGGTAAAGAAAGTGACCTGTAGGGGAGAGGCTCAGGGCCACTGTCCCATGTGAATGATTTACAAGGTGAGATTAGAGGAGCTAAATCTGTCTCAAAACAGGGAGCCTGGGACATTAGAACAGGCCCTAGGTGTCCCCACAACATGCAAGGCATTTTTTGCCCCAGAGTGCAAGGCAGCCAAACAAAACTGGGTGCCAAATGTTCACAAAGGTCAACCTCCTGGCAACCTTCCCGAGGCTTCAAAGTGACAAGGTTGGCTACCCCATCTCCTCCCTCTCTGCTCCATTTTCAGACCTGCTCAGCCCTGTTTGGTCACTTTCGACAATTTCCAGTTGTTTCTTTTCTGACACTATCTTTTTCTTAGAAGTAGCTAGGTGGCACAGTGAATGCTGGGCCTAGAGTCAGGAAGACCTGAGTTTAAATCCAGCCTCGGACATTAGCTGGGTGACCCTGGAAGAATCATTTCACCTCTGTGTGCCTCAGTTTCCTCAACTGTTAAGTGTTGTTGTGAGGATGAAATGAGAAAATACTTATAAAGCATTTAGCACAGTGCCTAGCATACAGTAGGTGCTTGATACATGCTTGCTTCCTTCTTGCCTGCTTGTCTCTGTATGTAGATTCCAAATATATGACAAAGTATCGAAGTGGAAACTCCAGAGTCTGGAGGGGCTGACCCACCTATGGCATAACTGGCCAACAGGAAACCAGCAGATCCTGCCAACACCTGAAAATCTTGTTTTTTTGTTTTGTGAACGATCAAGCCCACTCGGGTCACCTGCAATATTAGATACAGCAACAGATCAGAGACTAGAAAAGCTCTGGACACAAACAGGGCAAGGGCTAGGGCTAGGAAAGCATCATTACCTGAAGACTCAAGAGCCTAGACAAGGTAAGAAAGAGAGAAACCATAGAAACCTAGGACTGGGGATTGGGGAAATATGAGGCTGGGACACATAGCCTTTGGGGAATCATTGGATCATAGATTTAGAGCTGGAAGGGACCTTTGAGGTAATTTGATCCAATCCCCCCTCTCCATTTTGCGAATGAGGAAACTGAGACCCAGAAAAGTTCAATGATTTGCATAAGATTACACAGATAGTAAATAACAGAAATAGGATTTAAATGTGGGTCCCATGGCTCCAAATTCAGACATCTTTCTATAATAAACCACAGTCTTACTAATTATCTGTTCTCAGTGAACTTACCTGTGCCAGTAGGGCATGAATGGGTGTGATCCCTGGGGATTCAATTCAATTCAACACATTTACTGAGTAGAAACCACAGTGCTAGGTGCTGAGGTAGAAAGATTAGCTCCTTGGAACTCAAAGTTTTAAAAATGAATGTTAAAAAAATTTTTTACGTGTAACTAGGGAAAAATAAAATACTTAATAAATTCAAATTTTTTTTTAAATTAAAAATAAAGATTAGCTCCTCCTAAAGTTTATAGTCTACTAGGGGAGTTTATAGTTTATATATGACTGAGTAACTACTTACAAAAAGATGTATGATAAGTTTAAGAGAAGTGTCAACAAAGTATAATTTGAGATATTTGAGGGGAGAAAGGCCTTAAGTAATAACTTTGGGAGAATGAGGACAGTGGGAGAGCAGAGATGGCATGTGGGATGTACTTTAAAAAGATTCAACAGGCAAAGAGAAGAGTGATCATCCAAGGGGCCCTGGGAACTGACTAGACTCACATCTCCTCCACTCTCCTTAATGCCCACAATGTTTGGGTGCTGAGATAAGGTGACCACGGCATCCACAGGTAGATCTAATCCCGTGTTAGCTGGGACATTATACAGCACCACTGGGATTGGGGACAGATCAGCCACCTGAAAGGTACAAAGAGGAGAGGCCATAAGCAAGCACCTGCCCCAGGCCTGTGCAACCCAAGCTACATTGTGGCCTCCTGCCTCCTGCCTTGGATTTCACAAGTCACCTGAGCCTTAACTACAGGTAGCCATTCTATTCATTCCAATTGGAAGCACCTCTAGGACATATAGACTTCATCTTTCTCCAGAAGAACCCACCTAATGTTCAATTATTTAAGCTAAATTCTCCCTTTTTCTCCTTCCCAATCCAACCTCTGCCCCATCCTCTGGGCCTATCATCTTTGACCATCATGCCCTGAGACTTGAAACACCTTGGTGTAGTGGTAGATCAGGGCTGTACTGGTCATCCTGCCTCGATAGTAGCATGGTGTCACCACTAGGGCAGCATCAGCTCCAACCTGGGCCATGCTGACAGTCATCTCCACCGTGGCTTGAGTGGCTGTAGGATGAAAAAGGCAATTTTGGGAGTAGCAAAAGCAAGACATGGTAGGATCACAGATTTATACCTGGTAAGCTCTTATACCTTGAAAGAACATCTAGTCAACTTCATCATTCTACAGATGAAGAAACTGAGACCCAGAGAAGTTAAGGAACTTCCCCAAGGTCATGCAACTAGTGAATAACTATGGTGAGATTCAAACTCAAATCCAGTGTTCTTTTCACTTTCCTGGCCCCAAAACAAGACTTTGGAGCAAGGATAGTTTTAGGATAGACAAAGAACTGGGATATCTCAGAAAGGAACTTATGTCCCACCAACCTCTGCCCCACCCAAGGATCGCCAAGCACATGGCTTCTTACACTCGCAGCCCGAGCCGGCTATTAAGAGCTTGTCCTTGGGCATCACTTGTCGAACTCGGCTTACCACCTCCAGTCGCTCAATGCTCGTCAGGTAGGGGAACTCGCCACTGGAGCCCTGCACCACAAAGCCTGCAACAAAGGGCCCATTACCAGAGGGAGTGAGCATGGTGAAGGAGGAGGACCCATGGCCTTGGAGCTGACAGACTTGGGTTCAAGTTCTAGCCCCGACACTTACTAGTTATACTATCTCTAGTAAATCACTTTACCTCCCTGAGATTCAATTTCCTCTTTAAAATAAGGATCACAGAATCAGCTCTCGAGCCAGAAAAGACCTCAGAAGTCATCTAATCCAGCTTCCTTTCACAGATGAGAAAACCAAGGCTCAGAGATGTTAGGGCACTTGTCCATGGTCACACAAGGAGTGAATGATGGAATCTGCATATGAACCCAGGTTCCTGACTCCAAATTGAGCACATTTTTCATTGTATTATAGCAATACATTCATTACCTACCAGGACTTTAATGAGGTAAAATTCTGGGAGTTTCTTCTCAGTTTAATTCAATTCAGTTTAATGAACATTCATGAAGCACCTAATCTGTATAAGGCAGAATAGTGGGCACAGATAAAAATGAAATAGATCCTGCCCTCAAGAAGCTGACACTCTACTTACATTCTATCCCAAAGAGTGAAAATCTAAGCACTCATTGTTACAACCATGGTCGTTCCCCTGAGTTTTCTGATTCTGGTCACCCAGTCTGTGGGACATTGTTGTTATTGTTGTTGTTGTTGGGTTATTTCAGTCATATCCAACTCTTCATGACCCCATTTAAGGTTTTCTTGTCAAAAATACTGGAGGGGTTTGCTATTTCCTTTTCCAGTTCATTTTATAGACAAGGAACTGAGGTAAACAGGGTTAAGTGACTTACCCAGGGTCACACAGCTAGGAAATGTCTGAGGCCAGATTTGAGTTCTGGAAGATGAGTCTTCCTGACTGCAAGCCTGGCACTCTATCCACTGCACCACCTAACTGCCCTCCTAGGGATATTAGTCTGTTCAAATGGATACTCTAGCTCACACTGGGTTGGGCAGCAACATGGCAAACACTCACTCTTACAGGGAGTGGTGCCATTAATCTCACAAGGTCATTGGTTCATTTGAGCATTGCAGCTACAAGAACCAGGTTAAGAGAGGTGTGTGTGTATGTGTGTGTGTGTGTGTGTGCCAGGAAAGAATACATAAACAATTATGATGATTTACCATACACCAAGCATGCCGAAGGGGCTAGAAATTGGATAGATCAGAAACCTTGGATTCACAATCTCTCTTCCATAAATAGGAAATATGAGAAGGTGGCCAATATAGGCCAAGCTGCCCAGAGGCCAGAGTTTGCCTCAGGCAATAGTGTGAAATAAACAAAAATTATATTCATTATTTTTCTTTCCTGCCCCATTCTTCATTATCCCTAGAGACCCAGATTTCTATGACTTGCCCATCCTTAGTCCCCTACTTGCCAAGGGTCTGTCCTCAGTATGCCCCATGATGTCCCCAGGGTCATTCAATTTATTGGTACCATACTCTTAAAACATTCTCCTGTATCAATAGTAACTTCAAATATTGGAATGACGTAGCAGCTCTTGGACAGAGACAGTGAGTGTGTCTACCGAGAGTTATTAAGAATATATTTGCTGACTGCTGTAATATAGCCAAAAAGTTATTCACTGTGACCAAGTGAGATTCATACAAGGGATGCAAGGATGGATAAATATTAGGAAAACAATTAATATATTCAGTCATATTAAAAAAACCACATGATTATATCAATAGATACAGAAAAAGTCTTTGACAAAAGTACAATATTCATTTAGGCTAAAAACCCTATGAAGCATAGGCATAGAAAAACCATTTTTAATATGATAAAAAGCATTATTTTCAATGGAAAAAATACTAGAAACTTTTCCAGTGAATGTAGTGGTGAAACAAACGTACTACCTTTTCTCACTGTTGCTACTCACAGCTCTAAAATACTAGGGATAGAAATAAGATATATAAGATAAATAAGAGTAAGAAACTAAAGGTATAACTATTGGCAGAGGCAACAGAAATCATTCCCATTTGCTGAGAACATCAAGATTTACTTAGAAAACCCCAGAAAATCATTAAAGAAACAAATCCAGATAAACAACTTCAGTAAAGCAGTAGGATGCAAAATAGATTTACAAAAATAATAGCAATTCTAGATAGCAATGACAAAATCCACAAAGAAGTAATAGAAAAAGAAATCCCATTCAAAAGAACTAGAAATATCATCAAATATCTGGGCATCAATCAACAAAGATATATAAACTCTTTAAAGAATAAAGAATGACAAATAATTGGATGTATATTCATTGCTCGTGGTTAGGATGTGCTGATATAATAAAAATTACAAAATTGCCTAAATTAATTTACAAATTTATTGTCATGTCAATCTACTGCTTCATAAAGCAATATTTTATAGACCAAAACAAAATGCTAACAAAAATAATTTCAAGGATAAAAGGCCAAGAATCTCTTGGAAAATAATGAAAAAAGTAGAAATGAAGCAGAAATAACATTTCCGTGGTCAAAGGATATGAACAGGCAGTTTTCAGATGAAGAAATAAAAACTATCTATAGTCATATAAAAATGATATAAATCACTATTAATTAGAGAAATGCAAATTAAAACAATTCAGAGGTACCACCTCACACCTATCAGATTAGCTAATATGACAGAAAAAGAAAATGATAAATGTTGGAGAAGATGTGGGAAAATTGGAACACCGATACATTGTTGGTGGAGTTCTGAACTGATCCAACCATTTTGGAGAGCAATTTGGAACTATGCCCAAAGGGCTATAAAACTGTGCATACCCTTTGACCTAGCAATACCACTTCTAGGTCTATATCTCAAAGAGATCATAAAAACGGGAAAAGGACCCACATGTACAAAAATATTTATATCAGTTCTTTCTGCGGTGGCAAAGAATTGGAAATTGAGGGGATGCCCATCAATTGGGGAATGGCTGAACAAATTGTGGTATATGAATGTAATGGAATATTACTGTGCCACAAGAAATTATGAGGGACAGCTAGGTGGCACAATGGATAGAGCTCTGGCCTTGGAGTCAGGATGACCTGAGTTCAAATATGGCCTCAGACACTTGACACTTACTAGCTGTGTGACCCTGGGCAAGTCATTTAACCCCATTGCCTAGCCAAAAAATAAAAATAAAAATAAAAATAAATAAATGATGAGCAGGCAGACTTCAGAATAACCTGGAAAGACTTGTATGGTCTGATGCTGAGTGAAGGGGGCAGAACCAGGAGAACATTGTACACAATAACAGTCACGTTGTGCAATGACTAATATTGATAAACTTAACCCTTCTCAGCAATACAAGGATCTAAGACATCTCCAAATGCCTTGTGATAGAAAATGCTATCCACAAAGAAGAATGAACTATGGAGTTTCGACGCAGATCGAAGCATACTATTTGCTGTTCTTTTCTTTCCTTGTTTTGTTTTGATTCTTCTTTCTTGTGGTTCCTTCCATTGGTTCTAATTCTTCTTTACATCATGACTAATACGAAAATATGCTTAATATGAACATATAAGTAGAGCCTATTTCAGATTGCATGCTGTCTTTGGCGGGGGGGAGAGGGAAGAGGAGAAAATTTGAAACTCAGAATCTTATGGAAGTGAATGTTGAAAATTTTAAATGAATAAATAGTTTAATAAAAAAATAAATAAAAGGAAAATGATAAATGTTGGAAAAGATGTGGAGAAATTGGGACACTAATGCACTGTTGGTAGAGTTGTGAACTGACCCAACCATTCTGGAGAGCAATTTGGAACTATGCCCAAAAGGCATACCCTTTACATACTCTTTAATCCAGCAATACCACCACTAGGTCTGTATCCCAAAGAGATCATAGAAAAAGGAAAAGGACTACATGTACAACAATATTTCTAGCAGCTCTTTTTGTGGTGGCAAAGAATTAGAAATTGAGGGGATGTCCATTAACTGGGGAATGGCTGAACAAGTTGTGGTATATGAATGTAGTGGAATACTATTGTGCTATTAGAAATAATGAGCAGGAGAATTTCAGAAAAACCTGGACTTACATGAACTGATGCGAGGTGAACTGAGTAGAACCAGGAGAACATTATACATAGTAACTGCAACATTGTGCAATAATCAACTATGATTGACTTAGTTCTTCTCAGCAATACAATGATCCAAGACAATTCCAAAAGACTTATGATAGAAAATGTTATCCATATCCAGAAAAAGAACTGATAAAGTCTGAATGCAGATCAAGGCACACTATTTTCACTTTATTTTTTTCATAGCTTTTTCCTTTTGTTTTGTTTCTTCTTTCACAACATGATTAATATGGAAATATGTTTTATATGATTGCACATATATGCCAATATCAAATTGCTTACTGTCTTAGGGAGGAGAGGAAGAAAGGAGGAAGAAAAATTTGGAATTTAACATTTTATTAAAAAATAAGTATTAAAATTGTCTTTATATGTAATTGGAAAAATAGTATTTAAGAGAAAAATTTTTAAAAAGAAATAACATTTCTAGACCTCAAATTATGTCACAAAGAAGAATCTCATATTGATTAAGAAATAGAAACATAGATCAGTGAAAAAATAAAGCAATCTCGAGTGTTTAATAAACCTAATAATTGGCCTAATAATTAGCCTAGTAAGCCTAAAAACATAAATTACTTAGGGAAAGAACTCTCTATATGATAGGAACTTCTGGGAAAACAAGAAAACAAGTAGGCAGAAATTAGTTTTAGACCAACAGCTTACACTAACAAGTTCAAAATAAATATTTTGTGACCTGAATATTAAAGGTCATACTAGGAAAAAAGTAACAAAAGAACTAGACTAGCTATGGCAAGGACAATAATTCTCAACTCTAGAGATAAAGGCAATCATAAAATATGAAATAATCTTGATTACATGAAACTGAAAAGCTTTTGCATGAACAAAGTTAATGCAACTAAGACAAGAAGCTGCCAGCTAGGCAAAAAAATCTTGCATAAAATATCTCTGATTATGGTTTGATAATCCTAGTTATATAGAGAAT